CCTTTATTTTTGTCATCATCATTTTTTTCCTGTTTCGGGGTTATCGTCTCTCTCTCTCTCTCTCTCTCTCTCTCTCTGCTATTTGCTGTAAGAGAGAATAAAGACCACTAAAATCAATGGGTTCAGTAAAATATTTGGCTTCGGGGTCAAATAAGAGATTGATTTTCTTTAATTGTTCCTGGTTTAACTGAATAAGGGCTTGATTTTCTTGCTTTAAAGTTTGATTTTTATTTTTCTCATTTTTAAACTGTTCCTCATAATTCATTAATTCTCTAACTTTTTGATTGGCTTCCTCAATTAATTGCTTTTTTTCCTGCTCTCAATTATCTTCTAATTGCTCTACTAACTTCTTGGCTTCTTTTTGATTAGTTAGTTTTTGTTTAGCCAAAGAGATTAATTGTTTTCCTAAATCCTCAATTTTCTGTTCTAAAAGATTATTTTTTTCTTGGACTTGTTGATACTCTTTTTTAGGGACATAATCTCTTTTAATTAGTTGTCTTAATTGTAATTCTCGGTAGGACATAATATTACTTTATTTCGGCTAAACTCTTTACCCCTTTTTTCTTTAAAAACTGGGCTAATTCTTTTCGTTCTTTGGTTCTTTCGGTAATTCAGGGTTTCATCTTACTAATAAATTCTTGGGAGGTAGTAAAAGATTTATCACCTCACTTTCATTCTTTGAGAATAGATTTTAAATCCTGGCTAACTTGTCGGCTTTTGGCTTGTTCGATTTGTCGAGTGATTATTTTCATGAGGATTATTTACTTACCAAAGCCCAGGAGTTAGTAAACGGTATCATGCCCCCTACTACCTCTACATGATAAGCAAACTTTTCCATTCCTCCTCCTAAGGTTTTCTCGTGTTGAATTTCTTCGGGGTTGATAATTCGGTAGACTACTGATTTTTCATCATGGATAGTAACTAGGACATTGTTTTTTAACTTTTTTGGAATAACTGACTTAAAGATTTTGTGAGGATTTAATTCACTGTCTCTCACTACATCACATAAAAAATAGATTTCTAAATCATCCAAAAAGTCAGGGTCAATGGTTAAAACTTTACTTCTTCTCGTTTCACAATTGGTCTCTACTTCATTTCAATCGGTAGAACCTGGTTTTTGATAACCTTTATTGTAAGAGGTGGAGATTTCATCCATACCATTATAGGCTGCTTTGATTAGTTTTAAAATGGCAATGGCTTTATCTAAACTGTCAACTTGGGAAGCCTCAGCCTCTATCTCTTGTCAGGCACTATCTTTGTAATTATCTTTATCAGAGATGATTTCTACTATTTTCTTATTTAAAGCTGTAATAGCCTTAGTTTTCATGCTATCGATTAGTCTATCCGTTAAGGCTGATTGTTGGGCTGGACCTTGTAAGGCTTGTTTCATCTTTTTGCTGTTGTAAATAGTATAAAAGACTTCATCCATGATTATTCCTAACTTGCAGGAGAAAACGGCTGGGAGTTTTTTAAAATCTTTGCTTTCTAAATCTTTATTTCATTTCACTCCTTCAAGAGGTTGGTCGGTAATAAATTCATCTTCGGAGCCATAGAACTCGGAGGCTCCTTTGTCAAATACAGCAAAATCATTTTGGGCATAGATAGATTTAATGGGTAGTTCTTGGACTACTTTATTTTGTAAGTTTTCTAATATAGGATTTAATTTAGTCATAAGGATTATTTAGTGTTAATTCAGGTTTGGTTAGTTTCGTCTCATTGGAGACCTTTTTTGGCTTGGAGATTTTTAAAGTGGGTTAAGAAGTCCGAAGTTTCTTTATGTTGTTTAGTCTCTGTTTGGACTTTACGGGAGGCATGGGCTTCTCGTTTTCAATCATCTTTTTCAGTGGCTAATCGTTCGTTAGCCTTTTTCAGTTCAAGAATGGTGTCATCTTTTTTGATAGCAGCATTTTTTCAATCTTCAATGGCTTGTTTATGTTGTTCGATTTCTTCCTCGT